TTAAAAAAAAAAAAAAAAAAAAAAACTAACCTAAAACTTTTTTTTTTTTTTTTAAGCCACTATACAGCACTTAAAGCTCTGGTGCCAACCTGCCATCCAAATGCCCTTTGGTACTTGTTGTGCAGTCCATGGACCCCAACAGTCTGTAGCGGGAGTGGAGCATTGATTTGTAAAGGGGCAATAGCTGTGATCTCTACTGGCTTCATGTAACATGGCCCCATTCCTTCAGTCTTCTGTAGCATGTCTTCAACCAAACCTACAGTGTAGCCATCACTTCCTCCAATCTGTCTGCAGTCTCCAACAGTCCTCTCTAGCATTACATATACCGAACATTATGTGTGGCCCTTTGGTGATGTCAAGGGAAACAGTTGAGGCAACCTATACCATGTACGTTGACTGGCTTAAAGCATAAAGTAACCCAAGAACAAAAATGTAATATATTGTCCTTTTGGATGTGGTGATTGCATTATTTTCCAGGCCAGAAACATTTTCAGCAAGTACAGAAGACTTCTGTTGATCTTGCCAGAAATGCAGCGACCATGTGACTTCCTGTGAGCTGGAATGTATCTTTTTTTCTGTAAACTACTAATCTCTCCATCCCACATGTAATGGAGATGAACAAAGGCAGACCTATTTTGTAGTCCAGCCAGGGTGGCAACCATGGCTCCCTCCAAAGAACAGTGGAGGTGTGAGCATAGCCACTAAGGGTCAGAAAGAATGTTATTCATCAGTTCACCAGGTAGAAATTTAAAAAAGAAAAGAAAACTAAAAAGAAAAATAATGCAAACAACACATGAAAAAGACTGGTAATTGGCAAGAAACTAACATTTTTGTTTTGGGTTTGATGCTGAACAGCCGCTGAAAAAAAATAAAAAGAAAGTGTTGCCCTCAAATCACTTGTATGGCCACAGCAGTAGTCCACTGCTAAGTTAATGAACATTGCTCTAGAAATCAATTGTCACGTATTCTATTTCTATTCAGTTGTGTGAGATATGACTTTAAACTGCAGAACTGGATGCTGATACAAAACAACTGATGTACTCACCAACTCCTTCTTCATCAAAGCAAGCAAACGCATTCCTAATGACATCTTCAGGGTCTGTGCCATTCAACTTCTCTCCAAACATTGTAAGGAACATGGTAAAATTAATGGGTCCAGGGGCTTCATTCATCATGGCTTCCAAGTATTCATCTGTTGGGTTCTTGCCTTAAATAGAGAAAGCAAAAATGTCACATGATAAAACTTTAAAGGACACCAAAATGTACAAAATTATATCTTTAGGGCTGTAACTAATGATTATTTTCATAAATCGATTAGTTGGCAGATTTTTTTTTGATCAATCCGATAAAACCAAAATGTAATACCATCTTTAAACTAAAATACACAAATGCAGTGTTACGTTTACTTCAGAATAAAAGTGTATGCACAATTTTTTGCAATCGCACTGCGCTGGAAAGCACAGCATTGCGGTACTGCACGTTCCAGCGCAGGCAATCACACTGTAGGTGGGAGGCGCATTTGGGGTGCCATTGAAATGAGTGACACTGCACCGCACCTGCCGCAGCAGAATTTGTCAGGCCAAAACCAAAAATGACTTTCCCACCTTTTATCATTTTTTGGAATAATTGTATTGTAAGCACATGGCGCTTGAATAGCTTCAGCCAGAGAATAACAGCTGCCAGTGGCAAGATTCAGCAGACGGCAGCTAAATGTAAATACAGCAGGAAGTGGGCTGGTGCAATAGCCAGCCTGCTATTGGCCATTTCAAATTACAATAGCATGCTGGCTATTGCTGACGTCCCCCCCCCCCCCT